CGAGCAAAGGAAAAGAGTAAATCTAACAATTGTAGGAAATTATAGGAGAAAGGGAGGGAGGAAAAGAAAAGAAAAACAAATATAGTTAATTTCATCAGGGTTTATCCCCCACAAACAAACTCATTAAATAAATTCAATCACTATCTTCTTTGAAAATCAAAATCTGATTCATAAAATTTAAATCGACAGAATGCATTAAAATTATTTCTTAATACAATAGAACATAGAGCATGTTTGGTATAACTTAAAACCCAATTAAAATCAATTTTTTACCGTTATTTTACTATTCCAATCGTCATTTTTTATTTCCTCTCTCACAGGTAGGACCCATTTTATCTCTAACGATTAAAAAATCAATTAACAAAATCCCGATCAAACAAGCACATAATAAAAAATTACTTGAGAAATAGTGAATTTCGAAAAACCTTTTGTAACTAAAAAAATCACTAACAATTTTGAATGAAACACAATTTCACTATCCAAAACAATTGTAAAACATTAATCAAGTACGCAATTAACAACGTAAATTGTTTGAGGTGCAATAACATAAAAAAATAAAAAAAAAAATTCATTTATCAAGAATAAGAACACATAAATGGAGTCTTGGTAATACATTCTACAACACCAAAGTTTGAAACCTTATGCTTGTCTGTTTTTTTCTCCTATGTAAGTTTTGGGGTTCGGACAATGTACACATTGAAATTAAGAGCCTGTTTGGTAGTGATATTGAGAATTGATTTTTTTTTACCGTCAGGAGAAAAGTGGGGACCACTTGTGAAAGAAGAAGTCAAAAATTACGACAAAAATAGTTAAATAACGGTCAAAAAATCAATTTTTTGGAGTGAAAAATCACTCTCAAACGAGGCCTAAAAGTAAAAATGAGAATGGAAAATATAATCGTTATGGACCCCACATAAGAGATAAAAATTCAAATTTGATGATTTGATATGATGGATAACGATCATATTTTCCATTTTAATGGGAATAAGATGGGAAACAAACAAGTGCTGAATTAGTTCAACAAACTTTGTGTTGCTCAAATTGATCTATTGGCTCAAATTAGTTGAGTTTTTATGGATTGATCATTTTTTACATGGGTTGTTCTATTTGGTCATATTTTCTAAAATTTATTTTCAATCGTATTCATAATTTTATCAAATTTTCGACTATATATTTTGTCAAAATTTAATAAAAATCTAATTTTTAACTAAATGAAACAAAATGTAATTCCTAGGATAGTACCAAATGATAAGTGACTTGTAAGGTGGAAATCAAAGTTCAAACTTGAGTATCCAGTGGAGTGGCAAAGTGGGTGCATGGTTCATTCTTCCTCCTCTTCTGATGTTAGTACCTTTACAATTTACGCGTAGCTTTAGCGCCCTATCATCTTCGAATCAATGTCACGTTTTCCGGAGCACTGCGCCTATTCACATTGCTTATTGCCGGAGCACAGCACAAGAAGCACCACCGGAGTTGCAGAGGTCAGAAATTAAGCCTCCGCCGCAGCACCTGACTCCGGCGACCACAGCAGCAGACAGTTTGAAAACAAAGGATGTTAATGGGCGTGGAGGTTCCGGAATTCAGGTTCGGAGACAGAGATATATATCAGTTTCCAAATCCGAGCTATTGGATGCAATTGTCTCCGCCATGTTCTCCTCACAAGAGGAATCCCGCGAATTTCTTCATCTTTCCAAGTAATTTTTATATTTTGTCCTTTGCTAAGGGTTACTAGAAGATATTAGTTAATTAATAATGAAGGCCAAGATTGATGAAATAAGAGGTGTTTATGACTATTATCTCTCTTGTTCCTATGATTCATAAATTAGGACTGGATGAAGTTGTACAAATAATGCCATATACTCGCTGTTAAAGAATTTACAACATTTATTGTATTGTCATGATAAGATGTCTTACTTATGTGATCATAAATTGTGATGATTAACATCTACTTGTGTCATTACAGATGCTTAGATATGATTCTTCACGCTGAACACAAAAGAATTTTAGAGGAAATGCGTGCCGAGTTTGATCTTACTTTTTCCACAAAAAGCAAAGGTGTTGGTCTTGATGATTTGCCAGGCTTGGAGAGAAATTTTGTGGCTAATGGGATGGAGTCTGATGCCGTTATGAATAGCTCTGTGAAAAGTGAGAGCATAGACAAAGAAAAGAAGGATGAGGCTAACACTGAGACGAAAATACCCTTCAATTTCACCCTGGACTTGAGATTTCTGTTGGGTTCTTCATCAAAAACTGTCGAGGAAAATCCTACCAAGGCTTCAAGGTTCTCTGTGTTCTATTGTTTCCTTTTAGTTTATTACAAACTGCTGGAGTTACGTGTTCTTGTGATATCAGATATTTTGTTCATAGCATATATTTTTTCCCTGCTGAAATCTGTTTAAAATTAACTAGTCTCTTTGCAGTTATGCAGGTTAATGCAAATTTCTATTTCTCCCTTGCTCAGATGTTTAATTTGCCTTTTGTTTTTGGTAACAATGGAAGGACTTCTGTTTAAGATGCTTGTTATACTAGTTATTTATTGAAACTACACGAAATGTCAAACCTGTCATAATTCATGAATACTTATGATCGCCTTTTGATTAGTCTCATGCTTCTACTAATTTGACTTATCATGTAAAATTGTATGTAGATTTGCTGTCCCGATTCGTTTTCAGCGCGCTTTCATGCAACTTCTCTATGATGCTGAGTTTGAAGAATTATCTCCTCGGGATTTGATGCTGACATCTGCATTAAATACTGATTATCTTCTTACCTTGCCAATTTATGTTGACTGGAAAAGATCATCTGAGTCAGGTGCAATAATATTCAGGTAAATGAGTAACTCAGGTGGTTACAATCACTGATTATCCACCAATATGTTAAAATGTGTGTTTGTGATCCTATCACTGCTTATCACATTCTTAATGACAAGACATTTTGAACGTATAGTCTACTTTTTTATTGTTCTTCACATTGTTACTATGGGATCAAGCTTTCTATGTTTTACCTACTCTACCAGGACTGAAAAATAGTAGATAGATCTTCTAGTCAATTCTTCTTTGGTTTCATCTAAACCAAGAAACATCTTCTTCTTCCTATGCTTTAATTGCCATTTAAGTGTTGTGCTCTGTTTTCTAGGTAGGAAAGAATTACTTCTTTTTCTTCATGTAGCAAGAGTAGTGAAACTGAACTTTATACATTTATTTAAATTGTATCAGTATTTACACATATCTTTTCCCTTTTTTCCTTACTCGTCTTCATAGATATTGCTTGATTTATTTATTGGCAGGTCTTTATTCCTCCTACGTGATCATTTTTTATATACAGGCGAGGCTATGCAACTGAAAGGCAAAAGGGCTTGCTAATTGTTGAAAAATTGGATTACTTACAGTCAAAGTTGTTACAGAATTTCTTTTCTCTTATCGCCAAACCTTTGGGGAGAGTTGGTGTGTGGATGAACGAGGTAATTCACACGACTATTGATATGTATGGATTTTCCGATCGTGTTAATCTGTTTAATCTTTGATATTTAAGTCACTTTAGTATGGATTTTCCACAGGGGATTTCCCTCTTTATACATTTGATTTTATGTTTCATAATAGAATCCTAGGCCTACACTACATTTTTGAGTGAAAGAATGAGTCGATGTAAAAAAGTGAAGAGAGAGTTAAGATTTTTCTTTCTTTCTGACTTTGATTTTGGGACAGCAAGCGAATTATTTCACCTGCTTGATTGTTGATTTCTGCAGAAGATGAGGAATAAAATTTACCAGCTCTCCTTTCTTCATGATTTTGGAGGGTATTGTGTCCCTTCAATTCTTTTCCTGCTCTTTTACCCTTTAAATAAACACTGTCAAGAAGAGAGTTGCATTTTTATGTAATTTGAGGTGAAAAATTAGTCAGACTCCAAATATTAATCCAAGGAACTTAATTGAAGAAGTCTTCCCTTTTTTTTTTTTTCCCTACATCTAGAGTTTGAAATTCTGATTAAGTGGGTGTTTGATAGGCATTCTTATGTAAAAATGTATTTTAGAATAGTAAATTGATGTGAAATGTGTGGTTGAGAAATAAGAGAAAGTTTTTGATTTACGTGTAATATTATTTTAATAAAGAATATGTGGTTGAAAAGAAGAGAGAGAAAAATGCATTTTGAAAGAAATGACTACCAAACGGGGCCTAAGTGTTTTTGTTGATATTGCTGTTGTCGTTGTCGTTGTCGTAATTCTCTAGACTAAGAGTGAGTAGAATAATCTAAGGAACTTAATTGAAGAAATGTCCCATTGTCGTTGTTGTAATTCTCTAGACTAAGAATGAGTAGAATAATCTAAGGAACTTAATTAAAGAAGTGTTCCCTATTTTCTCTTTTTTTCCCCCTACATCTAGAGGCTTGAAATTCTGATTAATTGTTTTTGTTGTTGTTGTTGTCATTGTTGTAGACTAAGAGTGAGTAGAAATCCTAGTCTAAGTAGATTTAGAAATTTTATCTTTATCTTCTTTTCTTTCCCAACTAAAAATCGAATTTTCCTTTTTTGTTCTGTACTTTTTAAACTTCACGAATGAGTTACCTATCAGCTATCAATTATGCATACAGTTTTGGGGTATTATGAAGAACATCAAAAGAGCACTATTTTGCTGAATATTATTATCTTTTGTTTGATGAGATGGAAAACATTATTTCGCACTAAGAAAATTTCCCATTAATCGCAATGGACCTTTTTCTGAAAGGACAATGCCTGTGGCTGATGCAGAACCAATACATTTTCCCCACAAATACTTCATAGCTGGCTCCATCCGATCTCCTCGCTATCTCTATTCTCCTTGTTGACATTACATTTGATACTCTTCTGTGGCTGTTTCCATTCTTCTTCGCTTGCAGGACCTCTAGAGTTGTTGCCTCTATTGTGAAAACATTGTGTCTCTCCTTGTTTTTTCCATACTCTCATTTGATCACTGCTATCATTCATCTTGTCTTCACAGTGCACACCTCATCTAACTATCTCTATGTTGATATTTTCTTTCCTATAGACTAGTCTACATTCATAACATACTGTGACTATTTCTATATTTGTCATAATTTTTTACCTTTTAACTTTCAAGCAAGTAATTTTTTCGAAAATCTTCATTTGAATCAACAACAATGAATGGTTCTTACAGAATGCAGTGATCTATAAATTCCTTTTTCTATATTGATTCATTTCCTTTTATAAGCGTATGGTTGCTGTGCCGATGCATTTACTGTTCTTTGTAACAGATTCTTAAGAGCATAAGCCAGAAAGAGGATACACAAGTTTTGGCAAATAACATTAAGCTTTGGCTTAAGGAATTGGCTCAATCCCAACAACCATTTTTCTTTGATGAAAAAATGCTTGATAACCCTGTTGAAACTGACCTATCGGATGACTTTCCAATCTGGTTGGCAGCAGAGAGAGCAGTAACTCGATATGAAGGAATTCTGTCAGCAGTTGGGCCTCGTAAGAGACTCTTAAGGAAGTTCCTTAGTTGGATTGGACTTGTACCATCAACTCCTGAGCAAGCATTTGATCTTAACTCGGATAGCTCTGTTTCTGAATCTCATTTGAGGTTGTGCCAACACTTTAAAACTGAACTTCTAAAATTTATAACTGATGTCTTATTCCTTGTATGTCTTTTGTAATATAATTATTTAGATCTATAGATTTGGATCCATCTGCATGGCAAACATAGCAGATGCTTCTTTTCTGGCAGAAGTCACTAATGATAATTTTGGCATTGAGATCCATCTCTGCCTTTTGCTAAACAGGTTCTTTTAAAGGGATTCCTGCTCGACGACATTAATAGCATTTGTTAGAGCAATTACGTTAAGATTGGCTAGGGTTTGATGCAGATCTTCATTCTTCAATTCTTAGGCTTCAGGCACTGAGCTCATTAAATTTTCCCTTATGTTCAGCTGCCAAGATATTACCCTTTTTAAACTGGGAAGTTGCTTCCACAGTTTGTCTTGAGATATGAGGGTATTTAATTTCTCTCTAAAGCTTTGTCTTCATCTCCTGCTGGTTGCTGATGGGTGGTGCATACAAGTTTTTCAAATCCCTAAAATCCAGTCAACCATTCTCTTGCTTGTCCTATAAGTTTCATCCTAGCAACTGTTACTCACCTCCCATCGTAAAAGTCATTCCAATCAGAATATTCATCTCTAGAAGTAACTCATTCTAAGAAGTCTGTTGGATTTAATATTTCCTTCATAAGTTGGAACTTGTCTTAACCTATTTAGTGATACCTCTTGCTATATATTGTTTTCCTTATGGTTTCTAATCCATATTTCTCAATCAAAGATGTAGTTATTGCTCATCACACACCTTCCATAGATCTTATTTATTCTAATTGGGGAGGTTTACCTGTTGATCTGCCACTGATTCTTATGGTTTACATCGGGCATATAGAGATGATCAAGATGTTCCCCAATTGCAAAGCAGGTGTATCTCCATCAGTAATTGGTCATTGACCTTTAAATGGTTTTCCAAAATGCATGGCCATTAAATTTCCCATAGATGGTGCCATAGTCAATTTTGGACATCAATTTTTTTTTTTTTTCCCTAACTTACCAATTTCTGTCAAGTGTGGTCTAATTGATTTTTGAACTCAGTGATAGTGTAAGGATCTCGTTTTTCTGTCAGGATAAAAGCAACTTATCTTTAATGGCTGCAAAAATTTGGGATCCAGTAAATTTTATGACTTGGTTAGTAAGACACTCTGCAATAAAATGTCCAGCAATCTACCTATATACATGCATAATGATTTTTTCATGCTAATTTCACTTAGTGGAGGTTATCCAGTATATGACTTCCTGAAGATTGTTGAACATATCCTTTTCAAATACCAATGACTAAAACAAAGCGAATGTTGTATCGTACAGGCCGAATTTTCTGTCAAGGATGACACTTAGTGATATATGGAAACCTGCTTCACCAAAATATTGTGGAAA